ACAGACACACCTTATTCATGACCTACACAACTGCTGGCGAACAGGTAAGTCTTTTGACAATGCCCTTTGCTTCAGGATGTGCCCGTTGGTAGAGAACTTGGACTCTTGACCTGCTTTTCACGTTTCTGAGCCCTGGCGAGATACCTTTTTAGGCTGCTTTACTTTTACATGGCCCACGTTGCTTAGTTACAAGGCCTGAGGCCTACATTGGGTGAAAAAGGCCCTTTCACAGGGCTCTGCAGCTCTGAACATGGGGAGCCACCTGCAAGGGTGCCCATTGGATGCTGATATCCCAACTGTACATCCTGGGTCCCCTCAACGGTTGAGCGTGTGCCTCCCCTTGGGGTTGTCGAGGCCATGAGGGGGGAGTGGCTCCGGGAGGGGCAGGCTCAGTTGGAGCGTGCGGGAGGGGTGAGGGGGTCACCCCTCCCCTAGCAGGAGCTGGCGCGTCCCTGTGGCACCATTGTGACTGTGGTGTGAAATGCCTCCCGACAGTGGAGCCACAGGGAGGTGAAGCCCTGAGTATGGGAGGGGTGACCCCTGCCGCTAGCGGCCTGGTAGCGCCGGTCTAGGCCGATACTCCCGGGTGAGTTGCGAGGATTGTGAGTCCCTTCCTTGAGCGATCACTGGGTAGTGGGTGGGCCCGCTGCACCGCCAGTGGGGCTGACCCCGGCGCGGAAAGCCCTCTGTCGGACATCCTCCCTGGGTAACCCCTGACACCTCCACAACCCTTTTGAAAGAATGCCGCACAATGAATAAATTCAAAGACACAATTAAATTCCACGGTACACGCAATCTCCTACAGAAAGAAATAATCAAAGACAGATACGAAGAAACAGATTCTCAATTTATTTGCTAATTCTAACTTGCTGTCTGTTCTATGTTTGATTACGTCCTACAGAAAGTGTACAGGTACCGCAGCCACGACCTGTGTGATCAAGACAACAACACACAGGTGAGTATGCACAGCAACCACAGAACAGCCAAACAGGTGAGTAGGTCAGCCAGCACAACCAACAGCAATCAAGGGTCAGCCTTTCTTCTTCTACAGCTGTACCATCTGCAGAACCAATGCGATCAAACACAAGGGCCGGCACGTGACACTACAGCAAATTGTGAAGCCGTACCGTCTGCCAGCACACAAGTGCAAGATCAATACCTCACCCACAGCAGCGTGTCATGCATGCCACGTATCACCCCTGGAATGCCAACGCAGCAGCTCTACAGAGTCTGCCACATCAGCGTCAAGGACCTGGAAGGTCTACGACGGGGATGCCACGTCAGCAATGCATGGTCTGCAAACACATCCACACTGGTATGCCACATCAACTCAAAGTGTGAAGCGCTTCATCAGCAGGCAATCTCCACACAGGTACGTGCCACGTCAGACCATGCCCTGCCAGTAGAGAATGCCTCATCAGCGTCCCCGCGCCATGCCATGTAGGCAGTGCGCCACATCCACACTCTCTCTCTCTTGACCAGCGCCATGTCAGCCTGTTGCCAACGATGCTCTCGCCGGTATCCTCTTCAGTGTGTCCATGGCATCACCTTCAAGGGAGGCTGCATGCACGTGCGGTACTCAACGTCAGCAGAGGCTGGCGCTCAGCAGAGAAGGCGCCAGCATGCTGCCACAGTCCCACGTCGTCGTCCACAGTACAAGCACACAGTCAACGTCAAGCCAGCATCCAGCCAGTGTCGAGCCAGCGTCGAGGCAGCATAGCAAGACTGAATGTTGACCTCCTGGAGACCAAGCCTTATGTAGTGTTTGACAAGGCTGTCTGGCCTCAGGTCTCCTTCTCACAGTCATACAGATTGACTCACAGCTGTGGGCCTGGATTGTATACAGTTGCAGACTTCCCCTTGGTCCTGATGCTGTCTGGGTACCTCTGCATACAAACAAGTGTCTGCCGTCTGACTGGCGGCCTGGGCTGGGTCCACTTTGACTTTGACTGTTGGGCGTCAGGCAGTTGACTCCGGTCAACTGTTGCCAGCTTAGGCCCTGAAGTTTCTTATGGTCTTTTCTCCCCTGTGGCAAACGTCAAGGGTCATTGCGGAGGCTTGACTTAGTGCCTCACCACACGGCACACAATTCGTTTCATGTTCACACCGCCACATGGTCACACAAATCTCAATAGTGAAAAAGAACTCGCGAGGTGTCAGGTCCTCGTTAGAAGGAAAAGCAACTATGGCTTGCCAGGTTGGGCTGCACCTCATTTTTCGTGGGTCCTTCTCACGAATCCTCGTGAGTGTGCCCAAGGCAGTGGATTGTCTTTGTTGACTTCTGCTATCGATAGAGACTTGTTGTTTTTTTTAACTGTTTTTTTTCTTTTTTCCGTGCTCATGGGTGTTCGTTTCACGTGCTCCGTGCGGCGATGCAGCAGAAAATGAAACAAATACGAACTTGCCCCCTTGCGAACCCTTGCAAATTTTTTTTTTCGCTTCGTTTTGTTTTTGCTGCCATGCGGCGAGGCCCTTAGATAGTACACAATTAGCGAGCACTTCGGGGCAGGGACTACGGGACAGGGGGGCACCCCATCTCCCCGATGCAACTGTCCCGCAGCATTGTCAAAGGTGCATCCTTTCCCTCTTTCCTTGGGGGGGATGGGGTGGGGGGGCGGACTTCACAGTCTGTACCATACATTTCCATGATGGTCTTCTCCTGTAGAGGAAACGGGTCAGGGAAATCCCCTGGTGGCCTGGTGGCCTTAGGGGGTAGTCCGCCTCCGTGCTAGACGGATCCTTAAATGTCATGCATGCAATAGTCCCTTTGATTGGCCCCCCCCACCCTTGGTGTCTCCCCCCACTCACTCGGCCACTCCACCTCAGCCACCTATCGCTCCGTGTCTTCCCCCAACCATTCCGAACGGAAGTTTTCAACCTCCCTTCTGATGTCCGCCACTTTGTGCAGTCTGTCCAGGTTAGCGAGTAATTGTGAAATCGTAGCGAATATATGTGTGCGTAGCAGACAGGGCAGTTAGGCCCACACCACTCGTTCTTTTTTCCCCTTTGTTATGATCCTGGCCAATTTCGAAGTACACATTCATGACACAGTACTATGCCGTCCAATTGCAAAAATAAATGAATGAACTTGAGAGGAGAGAGAGGGAAAGAAGAAAAAGAAGATGAAAGAAAGAAGAAGAAGAAGATGTACACCAGCGAAGACCAATGATAATTCCTTCTTCTTGCCAACTACTCTCCTCCTCATTTTCTCCTCCCCTCTTATTCAAACAATAAATAATAATAATGATGTTGAATGGCTGAACCAGAATCAATATCCGAATCCCTTTTCTACTGCACGTGCAACATGAGGTCCACCATAGCCATGGTGTTGCATACTGTAACGTGCAGACCAGAACAAGAACCGACCTCTCAATACAAAGGAGAAGATAACACAGCGGAAGACTTAGATACGAATGATCCGAACAATCACTATTGCAATGCAGCTCTGAACACACATCATCATCATCGTTATCTGGTGTGAAGGGGGTCTGGCGCTTCACACAAGAAGACTGCGCCAGCCCCAACCATACACAGACGAAGAAGGAG